ACTATGAAAAATTATGTTCAGACAGTAAAAGTGACACTTACTCGTAACTTTCCATAGACACCCTTCCTAATCTTGTCCTTCTTAATTACTGCTTTGATCAGACCTTCATTCCATGCTTTGACCCTTGGAAGAACAGTTGCCGTCCTCTCATCCACATAATCCTTATGGACTGTCCTAAAGTCCACGTCAAGCGAGTCAAGGTATACCAGCTGTTTCAGAAAAAAATGAGAACACATGTTAGTTGCGAAAAAAACCTATCGAACTTCAGCTTGAAACATATAATGCGAAATGAAAAACGAAAAAACAAGGGGGAAGGCCTAGGATCATTTTACCACTAGGTGGAAAAGGCAGCAGCATATAATATTATTCTTGTCTCCCAAACCCATGAAAGCAAGCCTAAGTTGGTCGATGACAAACTGGCAAACATTTGAATTCACGACCTCACATGGATTCAGCGCAGCTGAGTACGCGCGCGGTGACACCTTCAAGCTGGTCGTTGGTGCAGGAAAACAGCTATAAACAACAACCAGCCAAGTGCTTAAGAACTTGTCGTCCGCAACAACTCACATATCTTTTATCATTTTGCACCACTCGGTCACTAATGGCGCGGGCCCTGTCGGGATGTCGAACATCTCATTGAACAACCTAACTACGTCTGGCTCCACTTCATATGCAACCTTCCCTGCCCCCCTGGGTAAACCCCAGATTCTTTCTACGCTTGCTGCATCAACTGGGATCTTCCCCCTATCTGGGATAACAAGCTGCGACAACTCTGGATCATAACACTTCGTCACAAACTTTAGAAGATCTCCTTTCATTGTTCTTGTCCCGATATCAAGCACACCCCCAAAGCTTATATCACCAATGGCATCCTTTTGTATATCATCGAGGCCACTGTTTAGGACAAAAAGTCTTGAAGGTGACGCCCTGTTCCTCGGTGGTGGCCCACTGCTACCAATCTGCATACAGATTTAAAAAAATGAGCAACCCAATATATTAAGCTGAGCAACTCATTGTACTAAAAATAAGCAACTAGATCTGTAAATGAACTGCAACTGTTAGTACTAAACTAGGCAACTGCTACACTGCTATTCTGCTGCTTATCAAATGATAGGAGTGCATATACAAAAAGAAAACCTATGCCATGCTGACTTGAGCATTACATATTTCAAGGATGCCTCCCTTCTTTCAATTTTTTCATAAGGAAAATACCTCATCCGCAACTTTATTCGCACGTTTCGAACTTCTCCCTCCTTCATCACGAGGGGCGGAATCAGTGCCTCGTTTCCTCGCCCGACCACCCCGGGCAGAATTGGTGGCCCCTTTCTGTGCCCGACCACCACGTACAGGATCCTCATTCGCCCGCCCGCGCTTGCGTCCAACATTACTCCTTGTTGGTTGAGCTGCCACTTCTTCTCCATCATCTTGACCATCACTTCTACCCGCATGCCTTTTGCTTTTCAGACCCATTCTGTACAAGAAAACACAAAAAAAAACATGTTTCATGAAAAACAGATGCAACCAGATACAAAAGCATTTATATCTGGTAGATGAACAAAAACTCCATTTATTCCCTACCCAGAGATAACTCAACAACTAAATTGCTAGTGCTTGTAGAAGCAATTGGGTATTGATAACTATGCAACTACTCATTATTTTGTGGCAACTAAAAATAAAGCACATAAAAAAACTACTCATCAAAAAAAGCCACATGTTCATCTTCATCACATTAGCTAAAAAAAGATCAAAAAACACTCAGGCTTTGCCGCATATTCATGAGAGATATCTCATCTCCTAATCATAGTTGCAATGAAGGACCGCAGCTCGATGGTTGATATAAGCATCGTCATGTTTCACACAGTAAAATTTAAAACAACACTATAAAAAGGATATCAACTTGGTGTTGCAAATCTAGACAATAACTAAAACTAAAATCAACAAATCAGAAAAGCCATTTCCCCAAAAAAGACAGTGCATCCCCTTACCCCTCCATGAACTGCCCAAGTCAGATGCATCCCCTGACCCGCCCCCTCACAAATTGGTAGGAAAAAATCTAAGCAACTAGCACCAAATTTATGAACAACTACCCAGGTAAGATGCATCCCCTGACCCTCCCTCTCTCAAAAATTTGCAGCGAAAAAACTAAGCAACTGCCATCAAAAAAATGAGCAACTGCCCCAGTCAGATGCATCCCCTTGCCCTCCCCTCCATCTCACAAATTACAGGAAAAAATCTAAGCAACTCCATCGAAATTATGAGCAACTGTGTCTTGAGAAGCAAGCAACATTGAAAAAACGAATCATATGCGCCAGTAACTAGGCTTCCGTCGCCTGTATCCCCTTACAGCCACTCGATCCCGCCTAGCCCCAGCACAAACCCACCCCCTCCCCCCCCCCCTCACCGTATCAACGCCACGCCCCCAAAAAGCATTCACGACGCGGAGCCCGAGGACGCCATGGACAACCTCGTGCC